AAAATTCAAACCAACTAACCAACCAAAAAAGAAAGAAACAACCACCTCTAACAACACCCTGCTTATTTTCTTAATAATTTGGGGCAAATTTGAATTCCTCAGTTTTCATGTAGCCCTACACTCATTTGATCAAAACAACCTTCCTAGCACGTTAGTTTTATGAAGATCTGATTCAGGACTCTGGCTCAGCACTGCAGTGCTTAACTGTGATCATACTTTACTCTGAGCTGTATTCACAACCCCAATTGCAGTATCTAGGATGTCTGTACAGTGCCTAGGGAGAGAGTTTGATGTCTGAGAATGGTTCATGTAATCCAGGCTGAAAACCAGAAAGATCTAAGCTAGTCAAGAGGAAATACCAAGGTGAATGGAGCATATTAAATTCTGTATCTCTTTGGAGCTTCAAACTAGTGGAAGTTATTTGCCTCAGTTCATGTTCATAAACATGAATCCTCCCCTGACTTTTTGTATCTAAAATAGGAGAAGGATCTCTTCTTAGTTATTGGTTTGTGTGCATAACGAGGATTCAAGAAACTGTATACAAATATCTCTTCTTCCTAAGGCAACTTGATCTTTCATTCTCCATATGCGTCCAGTGGCTATAATGTTATTCTGTTAATGGAATTAATCCTTCTCCAAAATAAAAGGATGAAAAAAGTGGATATCTGAGTATCTGAGCAGATAACAGAGCCTGTTTCTCATGTATGAATAATATCATCATGGCAGAAGTGTCATCCTTTCATTCCTTCTTTATGCCAGAATGAATATTTAATTACCTCTTGTACATAGCAATAGATTCAGGCCACGTGAGATTCTGTCATCCAAACTGCTACTGCAGGAAGCTGCAAGAAGCAGCTGAGGGGCCATCTGAAGTTATCACCAATAATGAGATTCAGCTGCCAGTAGTCTGGTATTGAAAAAACCTTTCATCTCTTGTAAGTTCTTGTGTGCAGCTATATCCTTATTAGGAGGGTACTACTTGGTGTCCTGTACAAGCTTCTTTGTCTTCTTGGTAGACAACACTTGGTGCTGTTTGAGCTGGTGCAGACTAGTACCTTATATTTCGGGCAAAGAAATGAAAAGACTGGCCCTCAGTTTCTAGACCCAGCTCTACCATCATTCACTAGCTCATTACATGAGTGAGTCACTTCATGTGTATGTCTAAGTTTATCCATCTCTATGGTGCAATGGATTCCAATGTCTGTGTCACATGTAGACATTCCACTGTGCTGGCATACCAGCAGGCAGATGCCTCATGGCTTATTTAGTAGGGCAGGAGTCTGGCTGCAGAGCAGAGCTTCCAGTTTAGAGGAAGTTCCTTCCAGCAGTTTTCAAACTGAACAAAGATGAATCAGAAAAAAAGAAATATATATGTATATATATATATATGAATATAATATATATTATATAATATAATAATGCATACAGTAGTGTATATATAATTATGTAATCTAAATATATACATATATATAGAAGATTTTTGTGGAATTAATGTAGTGACTGAGTTGTCAGGGCAGACTGGAACTCCATCTTGTGTTTGGCAGAAGTTCATCAAAGCCAAAACTGAACAAACATGAGCTGGTATTCTCCAGTGAATCTTCTTGGAAGACCCAGTAGGCTGCTGATCTTGGATTATCTGGTGTCTTATTTCCCCATGTATTGTCTTTTTAGATTGAAAATTATTCCACAAAATGAGCTACTGAAGATAACATAGGGGCACGTCACCTAAATTTTTGGTTACTACAGAGCATCCACTGAGAAATACAAGTTTTTTATGCTCCCAGCCTTCTGAAGTCCTTCACCATGATAATATCTATGATGGGAAAGAAGGGCAGCTTGGAGATACCACTACCAGCTCTCTGCCCCCACTGTGCATGGGCCACAAGAGGATAGCTGACTTCTTCCCTCCTTAGCCTTTCACCCACACCTTTTCCTCCTTCCTTATTTTTCCTTATATTCTTTAAAAGATGGTGGTGGAGCAGCAGTGTATACTGACACTCACTGACAGCATCAGGATGGACGACTTGAATGGAAAAGCTTGGAGTCTAGTTGCATTGCTGAGAGTTATATGAATGTTTATTCTCACCTTAAGAAACCTGCATTTTCAGTGCCTGAAAGGTCTCACAGGTACTGGAGTTCTGGAGGACTTGGAGTTCCAATGCTAAAATGTATGAGAACTGCCAAAACATAAAAATTTACCTTAATATGACTGTGCCAGTGTCTGGCACTGCGCTGCTTTAAGATCTAAATATCAAGCAGCCTGGAGACTAGCTCTCTGCTTCCTGATTTCATCAGCATGGTATACTTTCCCAGAAAACACATCTTCAGGATGAACTTCACCATAAAGCTCTTCAGCTTCAAATTTTCAAAGCAATTTAAGAGTGTTTAATATTTATAATTATTGAGGATTTCTGTACTCTTTTAGCAATCATTATAGTTGCTGTGATTCAAATCTTCAACAAAGACAGAAACTGCCTTAAGCCTTAGCTGGGCAACTATCTAATAAAACATAGTCAAGAGATGAGTAGAAGCTGAAGTATCCTGTGCACATTTGAAAGATTTATCTCCTAGTTTCATCTGGAGGGCTTTTTATAGAGAGAAGATATTGCTCTGTGTGTGTGTACATCCATATGGGAGAGAAAACCATCTATAGTTTTAAGCGGTGGGAAGGGGCCATTTGCAGTTCTTGAGGAGATGCCACAGGGAAAGCATTCTTTATTTTGCGTGGCCCTGTTATATCTGCAGCTGAATTTCCTTTAAGAAAGCAGATGTGAGTACATCATTCATAGATTTGCCCTACAGTTGTGGTACATGCATAGCTGCAGTCTAACATGGACTATCTGAATACTCCAGTCAAGGGTGAGATCTTGAACGACAGATGGGGAGAGTTTGTGTCTGAGATAAGGAAAGGCTACTAGAGAGGATCCTGTAGCCAGTCTCAGTTTAAGGAGAAATAAATAAATAAATAAATAATGCACAAAATAATAACAATAAAAATAATATCACAGAAAATGTAGCTTCAGAGCAAAATCTCCAGCATCTGAAAAAGGAGATTTCTGTTGCTTCTCTGTTCTCCTGCTCTAAAGGCTGGAAGTAGAGTGGAAGATTAGAGAAGTAAATTACTGTGATTCTTCTCCTTTCCCTACACAGGCTAAATATATTAAGCAGTGACAGTGAATGAGTATAGGAAGTATCCTGTTGCCAGCAGCCAGGAGGCAGAGACTCCAGCGGGGCTTTTCCAGCAAAATAGTGTGAGATAGAGCCAATCTGAATTCCTCCATCTTCTCTTCTCAACAGCCCTTTCTTTAGATAAGGAGTGGAATGATACAGCACTTCAGAGCACATCTTTCACTCTCTACTAACTACAGGAATAGTCATTTTCTTGTGGCACCCCTCTTTACTTCTCCCTCTCTCTAGGAAATAAAAAAATGAGTTTATCCCTGCTTCATAACTACTGGACAGATAAGTTTTTGTGGGAGCTCACTCCTAGCTATAACATTATATTCAGTCCCATCCTTAATATATTAGGGAAACAGGATGAGTATACAGCAGGAGAGTTAGTCACCCTCTGTTTTAATTACGTCTTTTGCCATCTCCTTGGCATGCAAAGTTCTGTCTTACATTCATGTGCTTGTCATGTGGGAGTAACCTGAGGCAGTCTTAGCACAGGAAAATCTGTACGTGTAGGAAGACAAGGGGAGTCGCCTTAGGCAAGGCAACCTTATTTGACCCTCCTTCTTCCTTTACAGCTGGTATTACTTGAAGCTGGTGCAGAGAAGAATGAGGGGACTGAGGCAAATGCCAGAATTTGGCACAAGTGAGGCAGGAGCTGAGCAGGTTTTCTCCTCCCTTCTTGCCAGTGCCTATTAATTCTGAGCCACATTGCTGTCTGTCATTCCAGCTCCTAATTCTTCCCATAATTCTACTATTTATATCTTCTAAGCTAGAGTCTCCTCTCATATATGCCAATTTTACACCAGTATAAATGAAGCTAGTGTATTTTTTCTGGCTTACACTTACCTAATAAAAGATGTGAGTTAGGCTCACCGCTTTGATGCACCAAATGGAGTATAGCCTATACCTTGAATTTCTTAGGTACTCGTTGTGTCCTTTTCCACCAGTCTATTTCAACATGCAGCAACTTGCTCCCCAGCCCACTCTGAAGCTGTTTCTGGAGCTACATCAGAGGCAGTATGTACCTGTAGGTCCTCCATGCTACGTCTCTTTGTGATAACAATACCAGTATTGTTTTCATCAGGGCTAGTGTCAGTGAGGAAACAACTGACAGTAACCTTTTTGTTTAGCCTCACCTCTCCACGTTCATCCTGGCTATTGCAGATTGTCCCACAGTCGCGCTGAAGAGAGCCAATTAAGGATTTGGACCTTTCTGTGCTCTGCAGTAGCCAAACAGAGGAAATGGCCAACTCTTGTCCTGTGGAAGTCTAAGCACAAACAGTATATGTTCCTAATAAGGGAGTGATTATATGGATCACAGTAGCAAAATGTTCTTGCAGAACATATGCTCCACTCCCTGACTTAAGCATCCAAGTGCAGCTGTACATCATTCCAGAGGAGGTTTTTGACTTAGAGCCAGGTTAGCACATACCTCCCTGCGTTACAGAAAAGTAGCAACATATCTAGCACTCAAGAGCGTCCTTTAATGAAGTTTTTTTGTGGCTGTTTTATTGGATGAAAATAAATTCCAACTGGCCCATATAACAAATGAAACTCAACTACAAAAATGTAATGATATTTATTCTCACAGCTGCCAGCAAACTCACATGCACCATGAGTCATTCCAGATGTGAATAAAAACAAAGTCTGTCTGTAAAAGTAAGTTTCCTGATCCCGAGGAGACTTGGTTTAAGAGAGGAGCTGCACGCTGAATTCAGCTGCACTCAGAAGATCAGACAGGTTCTCCTTCAAAGGGGAAGGGAGCAGAGGGGGAGGAAAAGCCATTTATTTATTCCTGAAAAGAAGGGAGGTAGGAAAGAAAGAAACTAATATATAGCTAGACATATATATTTCACAGAAAAGGATGCTTTGGAAGACTTTGCTTCTGCTGCTGTTCTATTATAGTGCTCATGCCACTGTAAACTACAGATGGAGTAGAGGTAAGATTTAAGCATGAAAAATTATTTATAAGAAAACTTTGAGTGCATAGATTCGGTCTGAAGTTATTTTGCATTATATGTGAATGTATAATTCAGCCTTCCCAGATCTGGAATTTTTTCTTCATCAGATGGGTCAGTTAAATAGATACATAGACAAATAGAAAAATGCACCTGCATAAGTGCATAAAGGTAAAATGATATATTCTGCTACAATACAACCATATACAGGAGATATCTCAAGAATATAACTGTGCTCTTTTCTCACTTTCTCCTTTCTCCTTCTCCTTTTTCTCTTGAATTAACAAGAATTACAGGGCATGAAGCCTCAAAGCAAAAGCCTTTGCGCCACAGGTGGCATAGTTCTCTACCCTATCAAGCAGACACCTGCTTATAGGAAACACAGCAAAGCATAGTTTGTGCAAGGTGCCTAGAAGTGCCTATGACATTACCTTGATAGATTAGCAGGCACAACATGGAGAAAGCTAGCTAGGGTGTTAACAGTTTTCGGTGGACAATATTACAGTACATAGTCACGATATGTTTGTATTCATGTGTGTGAAAGTAATTAATAAAACTGTTTGGAACAATCAGATTGCATAGGAAGTACTTCTTTGACAGCTAGTGATGATGGTCTTTCTTGTTTTTTTTTTTCTTCAATTTTTTTCTCTGATATTTGGCATGAGTCCTGTAGCTACTTGGTAAATCTGCTGGAAGTGGAGAAGGTAAACACCTCCCAAAAGACATATGTTATTCTTATATAGAAATGTACATTTTCTTAAAGGAACTGGATTCTGTTAAAAAAGAAAAGAAGAAAAAAAAAAGCAAACAACAACAACAAAATAATCCACTCTCTCCCACACCATAGTTCTGATCTTCCATTCTTCCTCATTATATCTAATTCCTTTTCAATCTGCTCTTTGGACTTAATTCGAATTTTGTTTGAGAGTCAAATTCTGAGTGACGTAATGACGAGACATACACAATTCTGCTCAGTCTGTATCAACATTTAATTCTTCCTTACAACTAGTGGGAGCCTTCTGATAGGGCACTGACCTGGGATTCAGAGTGACAGATTCTTTCTGCAGTTTTTCCATCAGCCTCTTGGGTGATATGGGATGAGTAATTATATTTTCATGTACCTTACTTTCTTCTGACTCTTTAATAGAAGTAATAGCACTGATTGCTTTCATGAAATACTTCAGTTCTCTAGATAAGTGTTTACCTTTCCACTGAAGACACATGAAAAGGTGAGGAATTTAGAACTAAATCTGAATATCTGAAACAAATCTATACATATATATATATCCTACCTTTTGGAAGAATTAGGACATCTTTTCTATGAAGGGATAAATAAATAGGGAGGTGTCCATTACCATGAAATAGTCAGTATGCAATTTAACTTAAGGCTATTCTTGGTGTTTGCTAACTTTATTTTAATTAAAAAGCAAAAACATAACCATAAAAGAAATCCATACAACTACAAAAGTCCAATTATAATCACCAGAACATTTAAAGGAAAATATCAGAACTCTATTCTTCCTTTTGTGAAAGCAGATTATTTTCAAGCTGGAGGCACTACAGCTTGGTTTTAGAGACTTTGGAGGAAAAAGGAGATTCAGTCCCTGTTGTGATAAGGAGTTCCTTTCTTGCAAATATTAGAGATCAGCTGAGGAGGAAGCCAGACTAATTCTCCACAACTGCTGGGATTTTGCAGCACCAAATATGTTTTAAAGGCTTGATTCTTTCAATAATAGCTACTTCAGAGCACCCTCAGTCACTTAAAATATCTATCTGTCAGCACAATCAGTTCCATCCTATTCTGCAGTATTTAGGGGGTGAAAGAACCTTCTGAAGTTGTAAATTGCTCAAAAACGTCAGAGGAAATCTGACTGAATACTGAGGCATGACACACCCTTCTGTGCATTTATTACTCTTCTTTCCTTCCACAAGGCTCTGGATTAATTCCAGTTACTTAAATCTTATCCAACTGCTAGTTCTGCAGTGGAAAAGCAGACAGATCAGCATCTGGTCTGATGGAAATGAAATACAAACCTGCATATTAGCTCCATATTGACCAGTAGTCCAGATTGTTTACAAAACAGTAGGACAAAGAGCCCTGATTTAATTAGCTACAGTTGATAGGTTCTTTTGTTTTTGTTTGTTTGTTTGCTTTTCCCAAAATAAATAAACAGTGTAAATTGGATAAAACAAAATCTAGCTTACACCTTTTACTACGGGCACTGGGGTGCCTTCCATGCCCAGCAAACAAAGTATTTAATCTTTGCTGGAAAAAAAAAAAAAAAAGCAGTCATGTGAGGAAAGATGAATATACTTCCATTGACTGGTAAGTGGGAACTCCAGTCTGCCACCTCTCTATGCTTTTATGAGCATTAATGAATAGCATAAAATAAAATAATCTGACAGGAAAAGAAAGCTCTGCTTTTTTTTTTTTTTCTTTTTTCTTTTTTTTTTCACTCCCTTATTCTTTTGCATGAAAAATGTCATACTCTCTTCAGTCTGCTTTGATCCACCTATGGACATTGCTCCAGAAGTTACAGGCAAATCTTAGTCACGAGGATTGATGTGTTCAGAATATTAAAGATACCCTAAAGATATCCTGCATTGTACTGCACTGGTGCAACCTTACCTTGTGCAATTTATGCACCACAGTATAGAAAGGGCATAAAGCTGGTAGAGAGCTTCCAAAGGAGGGCTATGAAGATGAAGAAGGGTCTGGAGGGCAAGGTGTGTGAGGAGCGGCTGAGGTTCTCTGCTCAGCGCAGAGCAGGAGAACTGAGGAAAGGCCTGATGGCTGCAGCTCCTCACAGGGAGCTGAGGGGCAGCGCTGAGCTCTGCTCTGTGTGACAGCGACAGGGCCCGAGGGAACGGCATGGAGCTGTGCCAGGGGAGGGCAGCTGGGGGTGAGGGACAGGTCTGAACCACAGGGTAGTGGACATGGAATGGGCTACCCAGGGCAGTGGGCATGGCCCTGGGTGCAGGAGTTCAAGGGACGCTGGGATGCTGCTCTCAGAGGGTTTGGATTTTGGGTGGTGCTGTGTGGAGCCAGGAGTTGGACTCACTGATCCCTGGTAGATCCCTAACTCAGGATATTCTGTGATTTTATGATTTTTAGTGGTGACAATGTTTGAAATCATCAGCTCAGCTTTCCTCAAGCCTTCTGCTCTATGGTATTAGCCTCTTGCATTTGTGAAATACACGTCTAGGGACAAGACATAATGCTAGGCCTCTACTAAACTGAATTCCCTATAGAATGGTAGAGGTGATGTGATATTAATTTCAGAAAGGAAAAAATAACAATTCCAGTTCTTAACAAATGTGATTACTGTAGGAAAAAAAAAAAAAAAAAGAGAAAAAAAAAATAAAATAGCACACACAACTGTAGTAATACGAGCCAATATCACTTCTTGTCATCCAGTTGCTTTCCTTGCACTGCTCTGACAGCTACCAGTACACTGATGAGCAGAAGTGAGTTTCAGGGCTACATTACAAGAATTGCCTATTCCCTGAGGAGAAACCCTGAGGCAAGTCTTGTTAGTACATTTCATCTCAGCTGGCAATATTTTCTTTAAGGGCTTCCCAATTCAAAGAATGGCACACAAACAATAGAACACCAGCTTCGTGGTTGCTTGGGGGGAGAAGACGCAGTGCTATTCCTTGTGGTTGTGGCTTCTTGGAGAAACAGCTGTAGTGGTAATTGCCTCTCACTGGGGGTGAAGTAGGAAATACTGGAAGACACACATTTGGAAGACACAAAAATTGTCAATGAGAAAAAGATATACTAACTGTAGTCACACTGATGAGGCTTCATGCTTTTGGGAATGGTTGTGGTGTGCCTTTCTGGCTATCAGCATTATTACAGCCATATCCAGATTTACCTGGTCTGCATGCATTATTCAAATAAGAATTTCTTTCCAGAACCCTGGAGAAATAAGTTGATCTCCTTAGAGGCTCTCCGCGGGAGCAATTACTTGGAAGAAGAGAAGATCCATAGTCTTTGATTTCTGAACGATGGTGAATAGCTTTATTTTTTTCTCTAGAGCTTTGGTAACTGAGTTTTTGAGTTTGATGAAGCAACTACTGCATGAGAAACTCTTGTGGCCTGCTTCTGCTGATAGGCTTAGCTGCAACAAACTGGAAGCTCTCCAGTGCCAAGAGAAGGAGGACTACATAGAAGACTAACTGCTTCCAGAGAACCATCCAGTCCTTTTACCAGGAATCACAGAATCACAGAATTGTAGGGGTTGGAAGGGACCTCCAGAGATCATCGAGTCCAACCCCCCTGCCAAAGCAGATTCCCTACACCAGGTCGCACAAGTAGGCATTCAGGCGGGTCTTGAATATCTCCAGAGAAGGAGACTCCACAACCTCCCTGGGCAGCCTGTTCCAGTGCTCCGTCACCCTCACTGTAAAGAAGTTCTTGCGCACATTTGTGTGGAACTTCCTGTGCTCCAGTTTTCGGCCATTTCCCCTTGTCCTGTCTCCTCCTTTATAGACCTGGATCAGGTCTCCTCTCAGTCTTCTCTTCTAAAGGCTAAACAGACCCAGCTCACTCAGCCTTTCCTCATAGGAGAGATGCTCCAGGCCCTTCACCATCTTTGTGGCCCTCCGCTGGACTCTTTCCAAGAGATCCCTTTTTTGTACTGAGGAGCCCAGAACTGGACACAGTACTCCAGATGAGGCCTTACCAGGGCAGAGTAGAGGGGGAGGATCACCTCCCTCGACCTGCTGGCCACGCTCTTTTAATGCACCCCAGAATGCCATTGGCCTTTTTGGCCACAAGGGCACACTGCTGGCTCATGGCCAACCTGTCATCCACCAGGACACCCAGGTCCCTCTCTGCAGAGCTCCTCTCCAGCAGCTCATCCCCCAACCTGTACCGGTGCATGCAATTATTCCTCCCCAGATGCAAGACTCTACATTTGCTTTTGTTAAACCTCATCCGGTTTCTTTCTGCCCAGCTCTCCAGCCTGTCCAGGTCT